CACTGAGAGCACATCAACATCATGACTGCTTTTTATATTTGTCATGATCCAGACACATTTTAGAGGTCAAGTAAATCGTGAAAACTTTAGAAGGGCCATCATCCAATGAAGGGGGGTAAGGACCTACAAGCTGTCGTAGTGTCTATGCTGATTGCTGACCTGTGTCCTGCAAATGATCATCCAACCATGGCTAATCAGTTTAGGTTCCATGGTACAATTTTAAAGATAATGTTGCTGATCATGATTATGTTGCTGTGTTCAATCAATATTATGTTTGTACAACAGGGTGCTGGTTGCACTGCATTGGTGGTTGCAGTGGTTGCCAGGAAGCTGGAGCTGACCAAGGCTGAGAAGCATGTCCACAACTTTATGATGGACACACAACTCTGCAAACGAGTGAGTTACATCAGTTTGCTGTATTTTAGTAACTTTTGCAATGAATTGTGTTTGTAACAAAGGTATTCAACAATTTTAGTTTGTAATTTCTTAAAACAAAGTCTTCTATGTACTAGTCGTTAGGACAACAGGAGATTCTCTGCGTAAAAATAGGTTTTGCTATTGAATGAAAACTCTTTTTTAATTGTATCTACATATAGCTTAAAGTAGACTTAAAATATTGGACACAAAGTTATTAGTTACAAGATTAGGAAACTTAAACATTTTTGATTGTTTGTTGGTTAAAGAAATTTATACATTAATATGTATGTGTGAATGGTACAAGTAAAGTAAAAAAATTTTTTTACTGTATATGAATGTACACAAAATATTTGGGATAATTCCTGTACTTCTGATTGGAGGAAGTGAGTTTCATTCCTTTGTCCAGAGCACCTTCAACTCTGGGATGTTTCTGGGTTTATTTAAATCAAATGCATCTCTCAGAACCTTTCATTTTTACTTTAAGAAAGTTGAACATATTTACTATGAAATATATGCTAAAACATAAAGATATTTTTTTCTAAGCCTCTTTAGAGGAACAACATCTGCTTGTAGTTGCTTCCCTGCTAACATCAGAACATGATAGTGGACATTTTTCCTTCAGTATTAGCAAGTTGCATACTTTCATGAAGTAATAAGTATTTCAGAAAAATAAATACATAAATAAAAAAAATATGCATAGTAGTGCAATTGTGCATTGTTGACTCACAGCTTATGCATATGACACTGTTCTTTTGTTATGATGCAATATAATTTTTGTCCATAAATAAATAAATAAGTATGCAAACAAACAAATGCACAAATAAACAAACCACTCAATCACTCACTCAATTAAAAACTTGTGGTTCAAACCCAAAAGTTCTGTTATGGTTTCTTAAACTTGTTTTTTTTTTAGCTGTCACATGATCTTCAGCAAACTGCAGACTCCATTTTTAGGAACAGTGGTTTTTTGCATAAAGCAGAGTACTCTGCTAATAATATTAAGAAAACACCTGGTGAGTTCACCTTCAAATTACTGCTAATTCTAGATGTTTGTGTACTTTACAAGTCAAAGATGTACACTACATTGCCAAAAGTATTTGCTCACCCATCCAAATGATCAGAATCAGGTGTTCCAATCACTTCCATGGCCACAGGTGTGTAAAATGAAGCACATAGGTATGGAGACTGTTTTTACAAACATTTGTGAAAGAATGGGTCGCTCTCAGGAGCTCAGTGAATTCCAGCGTGGAACTGATAGGACGCCACCTATGCAACAAATCCAATCGTGAAATTTCCTCGCTCCTAAATATTCCACAGTCAACTGTCAGCTGGATTATAAGAAAATGGAAGTGTTTGGGAATGATTGTAACTCAGCCATGAAATGGTAGGCCATGTAAACTGATGGAGCGGGGTCAGCAGATGCTGAAGCACATAGTGCGAAGAGGTCGCCAACTTTCTGCAGAGTCAATCACTACAGACCTCCAAACTTCATGTGGCCTTCAGATTAGCTCAAGAACAGTGCACAGAGAGCTTCATGGAATGGGTTTCCATGGTCGAGCAGCTGCCTCCAAGCCATACATCACCAAGTGCAACGCAAAGCATCAGATGCGGTGGTGTAAAGCACGCAGCCACTGGACTCTAGAGCAGTGGAGGCGCGTTCTCTGGAGTGACGAATCGTGCTTCTCCATCTGGCAATCTGATGGATGAGTCTGGGTTTGGTAGTTGCCAGGAGAACGGTATTTGTCTGATTGCATTGTGCCAAGTGTAAAATCTGGTGGAGGGGGGATTAAGGTGTGGTGTTGTTTTTCAGGAGCTGGGCTTCGTCCCTTAGTTCCAGTGAAAGGAACTCTGACTGCTTCAGCATACCAAGACATTTTGGACAATTCCATGCTCCCAACTTTGTGGGAACAGTTTGCAGCTGGCCCCTTCCTCTTCCAACATGGCTGTACACCAGTGCACAAAGAAAGGTCCATAAAGACATGGATGGCAGAGTCTGGTATGGATGAACTTGACTGGTCTGCACAGAGCCCTGACCTCAACCCGATAGAACATCTTTGGGATGAATTCGAGTGGAGACTGAGAGCCAGGCCTTCTCGTCCAAAATCAGTATGTGACCTCACAAATGCACTTCTGGAAGAATGGTCAAAAATCCCCATAAACACACTCCTAAATATGTGGACAGCCTTCCCAGAAGAGTTGAAGCTGTTCTATCTGCAAAGGGTGGACCAACGTCATATTGAACCCTATGGATTATGAATGGGATGTCACTTAAGCTCATATGAGAGTCATCTATCCATCCATTGTCTTTAACTACTTCTTCCTTTTTGGGTCGTGGGGGTCACCGGTGCTCATATCAGGGGGCAGCTGTGAATGAGCGGTTAGAGCAGTCGTCCTCCAACGGGAGAGTTGGGGGTTTGATTCCACCAGCAGTCACATGCTGAAGTGGCCTTAGGCAAGACACTGAACCCCTCATTACCTTCGATGTGTGGCCCATCTGTGTATGAATGTGATAAAGCTCTGATTAGTCTCTATAGACTCAGATTAGCTTTGTAGAGATCTAGTAGTGCTGTGTGGATGGGTCAATGAGGGAATAAATTGTGTTGTAAAGCGTTTTGAATGTCTTGATCAGATAGAAAAGTGCTACAGTCCATTTACCATGTCCAGCCATCACTGTGCGAGAGGCGGGGGACACTGGACAGGTCTCCAGTCCATCACAAAGAAACATAGAGGCAAACAAGACAAACAACTATTCACTCTCTCACTCACACCTAGGAACAATTTAGAGTTAACAATCAGATTAACACGCATGTTTTTGATCTGTGGGAGGAAACCAGAGTACCCGGAGAAAACCCATGCATGCACAGAGAGAACATGCAAACTCCACCCTGAAAGTAAATTCAAAAAAGTTCAAGACAAAAAAAACCTGTCCCCCTGTCTGAGAGTCTGTTGGGCACCTAACAGGACTCTCAGACAGAGGCTGGTCCACCCTAAGGACAAAACACTCAAACACAAACAGAGTGGTGCGATGTATTCACTTCAGGGCAGCGAGGAATGTCCAGATCTCTATATTGAAGAAACCAAACAGCTTCTTCACAGATGCATGGCTCATCTCAGGACAAGCTGATCACCTACACCACAAGGATAAGGTGGCCCTGGCCCCTTTCCTCTGCAGAGGACAAAAACATGCACATTTCTAGCCCAAGAAGACAGATGGTTTGAGAGGAGGCTGAAGGAAGCTATTTATGTAAAAAGAGAGAAACCATCTTTGAACAGATGAGGAGGTCTCAGATTTCAACTTTCAAAAAACTACAATGCAGCTTTAAGTCTGATACCCGGTCAGTTTCACACCTATCAGGAATGTCATCCATGTGACCGGAGTTGCCCATCTGTGAATCAGACTAACAAAGACCCTGAAGATCTCCTATTGTGAGGAGTGACAGGTCAATCTGCAATATGCAAGCTTACCTCAGCTTTATAGCTTGAACCCCTCACTCTCTGCTCTTTGAATTGAGAAAGCTTCTTGCATGAGAAGTGAAACGTCTTCTGCAATGAACTTTTATAACTTTGATTTATGAAGATTTTTCTATATCAAGTTTGGAGATCTTTGATCAACATTAATATTAAATTATGTTACCTGGCAGGTCATTATAGTTGGGCACTCAAAAACTTGACAGGAATGCTTTATTTTTTAATTGAAGTGATTTTCTTAAACACATCAGAAGTATAATTCGTGAAGAGGTCATTTCCCCTAAAGGCACAAAGGCTAAACACCCAGATGTGTTGCTCCATTTGTAAGTTAAACATTTACATCTTATACAGCCAAAACAATACTACAAACAGATGCCAACCAATTTAATGTTTCCTTACAGCAACACTTCTTCCCTCCCCAGTTGTGCCTCTGACTGGCTGCTTGTATTTAGCTTTTAGCCAATTATCAGTCTTCATGAGTCATGCCTATCAGAAGCAGAGTACAGTGGGCTGTGTCTGCTGTTTTTCAACCAGTGTCCTGTGGTCAATGTGTTTAAAATGCTTACAGTTGGTGAAACTCAAACCTGCATACAGGGAGGTTTATGACAAGTGACAGCCAATAAAAACTAGATGCTATAAAAATGAGATGCTATAAAAAGTAATGGTAAGCATGGAGATTTAGAAGTGCTGATATTGAGCACTGGACAGTAGCCCACTTCAAGCTGTGGGTCAGATCATTTATTACGTTTGCTTAGTTTGTTTATTGGGTCTTTCTGTTTTTACTGGCTTGAATTGGCTTAATGATTTAAATTCCATTTTGTGCATGAATATAGATCAGAGGCAGCACGGTGGCGCAACGGATAGAACTGCTGCCTCTCAGTGAGCAGGTTACCCTGGTTCAAATCCTGGTTCGGGTGCCTTTCTGGGTGGAGTTTGCATGTTCTCTCTGTCCGGGGTTTTCTCCAGGTACTCCAGTTTCCTCCCACAGACCAAAAAACATGCATGTTAGACTGATTGGTAACTCTAAATTGTCTTTAGGTGTGAGTGAGAGTGAATGGTTGTTTGTCTCTATTTGTGATGGACTGGAGACCTGTCCAGGGTGTCCCCCACCTCTCACACAGTGATGGCTGGACATGGGCACCAGTGACCCCAGCAACCCAAAAAAGGAAGAAGCGGGTAAATATAATCGATGGATGAAATATAGATCAGTGTTTTTAGTTTCAATATCAGTCCCACTTGTGCAGTTTTTGTTTGCATCCATAGCATAAATCAATGAGTGGAAGGCAGCGGCAAAGTTAATGAAGCAGCTAACATCTCGTAAATAAATGTGTGCTCATTTGGACCTTCCTAGACTTTTCACTCAGGAGCTGCGAAGTAAAATCCACATGTGTGATTCTCACACTGCAGGTAATGTTTAGAAAACTGCAGAACTTAAGGATATGTGCCTTAGGCTACACATGTTCTGAAAGTACTTCCTGTACTTTCCATTTTGAAAAGTTTGTGGAAGGCTGTTGAAGCGGTTGAGGTTTGGTCCAGTACTGTTTTATATTCACAACTTCACCTTTGTCTGGAATCTTCTGCTTTTCCCATGAGAATGTAAATCACAACTGTATGACTGTCAGATGTGATGCATTAAACTAGTGCAAGTTACGTTATCTCAAGTGTCTTTTCCAACTGTGTGTTGCAGGTAAAGAACACAGCTGCCAATGTACTCAGGGAAACATGGCTCATTTATAAACACACCAAGTTGGTCAAGAAAATAGATCACGCCAAGGTGCGGAAACACCAGCGCAAGTTTCTCCAAGCCATTCACCAGTAAGTCCTGCACGACTTATTTATTATTTTCTTCTTACAGTGCTTTTAAAAAGTATTACACCCCTTAAACTTTACTACATTTTGTCATGTTACAACCACAAACTTCAAAATATTTCTCTAGGGTTTTATGTGATACACCATCACAAAGAGGTGCATATGTGTGAATTTGCAAGAAAAACATGTAAAGTGTGGCATCCACAGCATGATGCTGCTTCAACCATGCTCTCACAGTGGGGATGGTTGGTTCAGGGTGATGTGCAGTTTAAGTTTCCTGCCATATATTGCTTTTTGTATTTAGGGCAAAAAGTTAAATTTGGGTTTGATTTGACTAGTGAACCTACTTCTAAAATTTGCTGGTTTCCTATATGGCTCGTGGCAAACTACAAACTTATTCTGGCTTACTTCTTGTTCCGTCCATCATCTTCCTCTTGTTCCAAAGTCGAGTCATGGAGGCAGCAGATCGAGCAGGGAGGCCCAGGCATCTCTTTCCACAGCCACCTCTTCCAGCTCCTCTGGGAGGACTCCAGGGTGTCCCCAGGACAACCAAGAGACATAGTCTCCCCAGCGTGTCCTTGAGGTTCAGCCTCAAGAGGAGGAATTCAAGTATCTCAAAGTTTTGTTCACAGGTGAGGGAAGAATGGAGTGTGAGATTGACAGACAGATTGGTGCAGTGTCTGCAGTATTGTGGACTCTGTGCCGGTCTGTTGTGGTGAAGAGGGAACTGAGCTGTAAGACAGTGGTTCCCAACTTTGGTCCTTGAGGAACACCATCCTGCATGTTTTTGTTGTTTCTCTGCTTTAACACACCTGATTCAGTGGTTTAATTACTTTCTGAAGTTTGACAGAAGCCTTTTAATCACCCTTTCATTCAAATCAAGTGTGTTGGAGCAGAGGAATAACTAAAACATGCAGGATGGTGTTCCTCAGGGACCACGGTTGGGAACCACGGCTGTAAGGTAAAGCTCTCTGTTTACCGGTCAGTCTACATTCCTACCCTCACCTGTGGCCAGGAACTCTGGGTAGTGGCCAAAAGAATGAAATCGTGGATACAGGCGGATGAAATGAGTTTCCTCTGCAGCGTAGCTAGACTCTCCCTTAGAGACAGGATGAGGAGTTCAGGAGAGACTCAGAGTAGAACTTCTGCTCCTCCACATCAAGAGGAGCCAGTTGAGGTGGTTCAGGCATCTGGTAAGGATGCTTCCTGGGCGCCTCCCTAGGGAGGTGCTTCAGACATGTCCGACTGGGAGGAGACCCTGGAGAAGACCCAGGACAAGCTTACTTCTTGTTATTCTTCCCTAAAGGCTACACTTGTAGAACATAGGACTAATGTTTGTCCTGTGGACATATTGTCCCACCTGAGCTGTGATTTTCTGCAGCTCCTTCAGTTACCATGAGGCTTATTGGCTGCTTGAAACGAATGCTCTTCTTGCTCGACCCGTCAGTTAAGGTGGACAGCCATAACTTGGTAGGTTTGCAGGTGAGCCATACTCATCCTATTTACAAATGTTGGATTGAACACAGCTCTGTGAAATGTTCAGTCATGTATAAACTAAGGACGTTGAAATTATTACGTTATCTAATTGCCTTTTTTTTTTTCAACACGATAAAATTAATTAACACAACGGTTCATTTGAAAAGAGCCCCCTCTGTGTTGCCATACCTCACTTCCGTTTGCAGAAACAATATTAAATGGACACTTTCGCTTTAAGTTGTTACCAGATGGTGCTTTGGACAAAACCAAAGCAATATGTGTGCTTTCCAAATGTGTATTTAATTACGATCAAAGCAGTTCATCTCTTACATATCACCTGAGGGCAAAACATCCCGGTGTGGCAGCGACGTTGGAAGGAGGAGGTCACCGACAGACAACTTTGTAACAGTTTTTAGCAATAGGTGGGCCATTGACTAGGGTAGCCACCAACAAAATAACAGAGACTATTGCTCGTTGGATAGCTAAAATTGTCGACCTGTAAATATGATTGAGGATGCAGGACTGAGGGATGTGATTCAGGAGGAATCAGGGGACTCTGCTTATAATCTGCCTGCAAGGTCAACCGTAATGTCCAGAATAGAGACGTACAACAACCAGAAGACTGTTAGAGCAAGCCCCATACTGTTCTCCCTCTCAGGCCACATCATTCAGACAGAGAGAGCTGCTCTCTCTTCTAGTAATGTGGTGGAGACTGGTTTGCCTTAGTAGTTGGCTAAATGTAAAGGAGTAGATCTGGTTTCAAAACAAAGCAGACATGCTCCGTAGGGTTCTAAACTGCAGTTCACACTAATTAATACTGTTTTTCAAACAGCAAATGTTCTGAACCACAAAATAAATGTTTGTAATGCACTTTAAGTATGTTTTGCATTTTTTTATGCAAAATGCATTTCAAAGCTTTTAAACATAGTGTCTAAGTAAAAACAAAACAATAAAAGTAATAATGACGGGTCAACTCCGACCGCAGCTATTTTAAACATATATCTTTCTCTTGCGCCTTGGTCAAGAGTCTTCCTGTGAGCCATCTCGAGTGAACCCCGTTCAGCGTGAGCCTACATGGCAGAAGGAAACGTGGTATTGCACAATACTGGTCACGTGCGTGGGAACTATGCATTTATGACTGAATCCCTCTTTATTAGAAGCTGCCTTGAAAAGTGATTAATCACAATTAATTTTTCAACAGATTTGAGAATAATTAGTTAATTCTTATCGATTAACAGCCTTAGTAAAAATACAACTTTGTGTTCCATCACATAAAATCCCAGTAAAATACTTTTGAAGTTTGCATTTGTAACGTGACAAAATGTGGAGGCGTTTGAGTTCAATACTTTTTGAAGTCACTGCATCAAATGGTTCTTCACCAACTTTGAGAAGCTCATGACAAGTACAGCTCAAAACCTTTGGTTCTTATTCATATTCCCATGAGTAAAACCTCAATATTCCTTGTATTGCTAATATTTTTTTAAAAATGTAACCATAGCTGTGTATTGTCACTCTGTAGTGTTTGTTAGTGTCTCCTCCTTAGAATACGTTTTCTTTTGTTATCCCCTGTTACATGTAAGTTTTGACAGATACACACATAACCTGCACACTTTCTTTTGCATACACGCACACACACTCAAACTATTGTGATGTTGTTACCTTTTTCCTACCCTCCCTGTCCCCTCCAACCCTTTTTTACCCTGAGCTTAGTGCAACAAGTGTAATGGTTTTGCTCGTTTCGTGAATGTTGTGAGGTTAAATCTCTACTGTGTTCTGTCCTTGTTTTGCTCTATCACTGCAGAGCTCAGAAGTAAGTTGAGTCTTCTATGTTTCCTTCTCCTACTGTTTCCTCGACATCCTCCTCTTCCTTTCACCATGTCTGCGTTTGACATGCATGAATAAAAATAATGCTGGATGCTGAATTGTTTTTGATTTCTCTTTATTTGAGTGTTCCATTTTTCCTCCTCTTCCTCCGATTCCCTCTTGAACGGGACGAAACAAAAAGCACCACTAGTGTTCGTAGGAAAGGTAGGGCTTGAGAAAAGGTGTGGAGAAAAACCAAAGCTTCTTGCAGAAAATGAGCTTGGACCTTTGTTGGCCAAGATCACCCTCAGCTACTACATGAGTGCATGATTAATGCACGGTAGCTGCTCAGAGGCTGTATTAGCCTGCATCAGCAAAACTCATTGTAACCTCTCAATGGTTCTGTGATGACACCAATCCAATCTGTAGAACAAAACTTTAATGTTTGCTGTGAAGGTTTTACTTTGTTAGCTTGATTAATGACAACCCTTCATGCACACTGGAGTTTTGACAAATTAAACGCTTTACACTGAGAGGTACAGCTTTTAGCTTTTAGTCCCTATTCTTCCCCCATCATGAGCTGAACAGACGTTCTGAAGCTGTTTCCCACAAAGCTGTAAGCGAGCACTCTCTCTGCTCTGATACTCTGATTTAAACATGAACTGATGTGCTTGAATGTCATCCTGTCTCTTCATTTGCCAAACAGGGAATTCTTCCCCTCACACATTCTGGGTGATACCACAGCTACATTTTTCACTGTAGCCATGATGGATCTGATTAGTATGGTGGCCATAAGGTGTAAATGAACAACATTTGAAAAAACAACAAAAACACATTTGAAAAAACGGAATTACATTTCATCCATCCATCCATTATTTTTTACCCGCTTCTTCCATTTTGGGTCACGGGGGTCACCGGTGCCCATGTCCAGCAATCACTGTGCAAGGGGCAGGGTACACCCTGGATGGGTCTCCAGTCCATCACAGGGACACATAGAGACAAACGAGAAAAACAACCATTCACTCTCTCACTCACACCTAGGGACAATTTAGAGTTACCAATCAGCCTAACATGCATGTTTTTGGTCTGTGTGGCAGAAACTGGAGAACCTGGAGGAAACCCACGCATGCACAGAGTGAACATGCAAACTCCACCCAGAAAGGCCTCCGGACCGGGATTTGAACCGGGAACCTGCTCGCTGAGAGGCAGCAGCTCTACCAGTTGTGCCACCGTGCTGCCTGGAATCACATTTGGGGAAAACAAAAAAAAAACGTAATTGCATTTGATTAAAATGGAATCACATTTGGGGACAGCACGGTGGCGCAACTGGTAGAGCTGCTGCCTCTCAGCGAGCAGGTTCCCGGTTCAAATCCCGGTCCAGGGGCCTTTCTGGGTGGAGTTTGCATGTTCACTCTGTGCATGCGTGGGTTTCCTCCGGGTACTCCAGTTTCCTCCCACAGACCAAAAACATGCATGTTAGGCTGACTGGGAACTCTAAATTGTCTCTGGGTGTGAGTGAGAGAGTGAATGGTTGTTTGTCTCATTTGTCTCTATGTGTCCCTGTGATGGACTGGAGACCCGTCCAGGGTGTACCCCGCCCCTCGTACAGTGATTGCTGGACATGGGCACCGGCGACCCCTGTGACCCAAAATGGAAGAAGCAGGTAAAGATAATGGATGGATGGATGGAGTCCTTTTTTTCCACGTCATTCCGTTTTTTCACATGTG